GAGGTGTTCATATACTAATATCTGAGTTCACAAGTGTGTTCATTGAATTCGTGACTATGCATCTACGCTCACGCCACCCATCACAAATCCTCGGCACATGACTTTTGGAAGTAATATATACATTAAAGAAGATACTCATAGACATCATGACTATCGTAAGCTCATCAAGCCTTAATCTCAATCCCCTGCTGCCCCTCACACGCACTAATCTCCCCAAAATACCACAAATGCGCATCCACATCCACCCCAAAGTCCCCCTCATTCCCCTTCAAATTCAGGTTCCCAGTCAACACATTCACATCCCCCGCCGTAGGCTGCACATCATTCCCACTAGTAACATAATACTCAGGGCTAATATGCCTATACCCCAACAGCGCCGGCGGCAACTTAGGCACCGGATCATTCTTGTGCGTAACACGATACGTCTCGCCCATGCCCGTTTTCGTAATGTAGTCGCTCACGCCCGCCAGCCCGATCTTCGGCGCGCCGTACGTGTACAAATCGACGGTCGTGCCGGTGGATCGTAGGTAGCCTGCTGCTAGACTCGCCAACGCGCCACCGAGGGAATGGCCTGTCGCTACGATGCGGTAGGTAGGATACTGCTTTCTTGCTGTGGCTAGAGCAGCTAAAACGGGTTTCTGTGCCTCCAGCCAGGAGTTCCAGAACCCGGTTGATGCGTTGCATGTTGGGCAGATGGTTGTTGGTAGAACCGGGAAGGCGACGTTAGTGATCCAATTACGCACGCTGCGGGAGCCGCGGAAGGAGATGACGATGAGTCCATTTGTGGAGTCTGTGGCTACGAAACCCGTTACGTCTGATTTTATGCTGTTCTCGAATTCGGAGAGGGTGTTTGTGGTGGCGGCTTCGATGAGGGGGCAGTTGCCTTGCGGGCAGGTGACTTTTGTGTTGGGGCTGTTGTTGTTGCTGAGGCAGTAGGCGGCGGCGGAGTATTGGGAGTAGAATTCGAGTTGGGAGAGGAGGGTTGGGGATACCGCTGTTGGTGGGTGGGTTAGTGGGGGTGTTTGGTGTGGAGATGGGGTTGGGGGGAGGTGTGAATGTACCTCTGCCTTCGATCTCGACGGGTACTGCGGTGACAGAGTGAACTGCACCGAGCAGTAAGGCTCCTAGACGGAGGACAGAAGGTGCCATGTTGATTGACGGGTGTGTCGAAACGGTCAAGTCGCTGTCGATATACAACAAAGAATGTACCGACGACGAGACAAATAACCCGATATAAGCACAAAGTGAGGGAACACACCGCACAACAACCTGACTACAAACTCACCACTCGCGTGAAACACACCAGACTATATACTTACCACGCCATCTTCACTAACCTTAACACACCAGGTCCTTCCAAGCCCTGCGCGGTGAGTATTCCCGGCGGTCAAAGTAAACGGACCAGGTAGTGGGACCATCCTGGACCATTCTGGTGATCGGCGCCCACACCAGAGCTACGGGTACCGGGGTGAGATGACGCTTGTTCTGGCGCTTGTCCAGGGGATGTCTGTGCCCAACGTGGCTATCCTAAGATTAGACATTTCGCCGCTGGGCTGGATGTACGCCACACAAAACACCATAGTGGAATGCGGTTGTTGTGTTTGCCGGAAAGCTCAGCCCCATAGTTGCCGGAAGACTCAGCCTCGAGATCGGCGTAACCTCAAGTGTCGCAGATGTCGCAGTTCGTCGTCGGCTTTATCGGTAGAACTACACGTTCTGCCAGACCCACCTGCTTCATTCGTGTGTGGTGCGTCTGGTGCGTCGCCTTCCTTTCCAAACCGATTAGTCGACGTTGTCCAGTTCGGCGCTTTTTGTGTGCACGCGACGAAACGAACGCATGATCCCGCACACTACCGCATGCAGCATGCATGAAAGAAGGCGTTTACCGGCATTCAGCCACAAGTAACAGCGTGGTGTGACAGCCAATGAATGTAAATACCGAGGTATAATAGCCTGACATCAGCGATAGAGCGTGAAGTATTGGGAAGGGAGATGTCTTATTCTGGTCATGGATGGAGAGTGCATCGTTTCTTGCTTGTTGCACTGCCGCTCAGCTGTCAGCGCATTCTCAGCATGTGAGACTGCGGTGCTTGTATAAGCCGGCATGCGCGGAACTTGCCTGCACGCGACAGACGGGTATTTGTCGTGATGGAGGTGGAGCGCTCATTTGGTGGTGCTGAATGTTGCGGGGTAAGAGCATGACGTAGTCAATTCAGAAGCGCCTCGTGGCTTTCGCTAACGTGGACAGGAAGGTACCTAAACAACAACATCACGGAGCAGACCAGAAGCTGTTTGTACCCCGAACGTGTGTGGTGGTGTAGAAGCAAGAAAACGTCGGTGTCAGCACCCTTCTGGGCTAGTGCACGGTACTTATGCGGGGTGCGCAAACAGTCCCAATAAATGTGTTTGGTGGGCTGAATGCACCCCAGGCACTGGCGTTCCTGGTTCAGCGGCTAACGTATATCTCCGAATCCTCCCAGTCGCGTGCTGCATTTCAAGTCAGCTGTCCACGGGCATGTTACGCATATGGAGAACGAGGCTTTCAAATTTTTTCCTGCTTTGGCAGAATCTTTCATTTCCACCGGCTGCGATAGATCGGGGCTAGTCGCTAAAGGTACAGAACTCCGTGCTGCTTGAGTCGTGATGTGTGGGGAAAAACGCGAAATACGCGAAATCGCAGAACCACATGGTATCGCAAGATGTACAAGGGTGAGACGGCGAGAAATCGGCAAAAGAAAAATGTACCGTGAGGCCCAAAGCGGTACCAAAGGGGTTGAGGCTCTCAAATCTAGGCTACTTGTTACCGCGTTTGAGAACGGCACGGGCCTACTGCGGTGGGACGAAGGGTTTGACGAGCATCTCACTGAATCTGGAATCGCTGTTAGTACACGGTATCCTGAGTCGGTGTGGAATACCCACTTCTCGAGCTTCTCCTTGCCGCGCACCTCCTCAACCAGCAGCGGCATCTTGACCACGTTGAACTCGTCGTAGAGCTCTTCAATCTGATCCAGGTACTTCTTCTGCATCTTCCGTCGCGCATTGCACTGCTCGCAGGGGTTGTCCTCCTTGGGGAACAGCAGCTGGTTGACCACAATTGAGTGCGTGTCGATTTCGTAGCTGTTGAGCTCCTGGATCATCCGCTCCGTCTCGTACAGACTCAGGAACTCGGGAATGCAGACACACACAAAGGTGGTGAGGTCGGCGTCCTTAAACTGGCCATTGACTTCTCCAATTGTCTCGCGCAGGTTCTCCATCTTCTCAACCAGCTCGTCCATGTTTTGTCCGTTGGGTAGTCTGCCGGATGCACCGAGGAAAGAGTTGAGCATGGGCCCGAATTGGCGCGAGAGTTGCGAAACCTTGGAGAGCGCTTTCTCCATTACGGTGGGAAATTGGAGGAAGCGTAGCGTGTGGCCCGTGGGCGCCGTGTCGAAGATGATGACTTCGTAGGACATGGACTTGACCTGCTTGAGCACTTCGGCAAAGGACATGGCTTCGTCGACACCGGGAATGCTAAAGGCCAGATCTTGCATCATGCTACCCATGCCGCCCAAGCCCGCCATGGGGTCTTGGCCCTCCTCCGCTCCGCTCGCCAGCAAGTCTTGTATACTGCCGTTGGGGTCAATCTCCATGGCGCTGAGGTTGTCGAAGCCGTTGACGAGTCGCGCGTCCTTGCCGAACTTCTGGTTGAAGGCATCTGAGAGGTTGTGCGCGGGGTCGGTCGAGATGAGGAGGACCGACTTGCGGTGCTTTGCGAGCTGGATGGCGAGGGAGCAGGAGGTTGTAGTCTTTCCGACACCACCCTTGCCGCCAACGAATATCCACCGCAGCGTCTTCTGGTCGAGGATGGACTGGAGCGTGGGCGCCATGTCGGCGTCGATGAGCGCGGTCGAGGCCATGTCTGGTGATCGGAGGTATGCAGTGTAGAGGGGCGTAGTGTGTAGCTGTAGGAGGGGTTGTCAGTGATGTTCAGTACAGCCCAAACATAGTTCCTGCCTGCTTCCCGAAGCTTCGGAGGGGCAAAGCAACCTGGAAGCGCCTACCTTTCGATTTCACTTAGACCTCCAGTGATTCTTTCGGATAGCTCAATCGGGTTGTGTGCGCGAGAAGCGTGGAATGTCTACGGTGAGAGTAGATGCGGTATGGTTGCGTTATTGCAGAGCAAGCAAGTCGCGCAGGAAAGTTGACTGGGTGGGAATGCGGGCGGGCGCGTCATGCGCTAACGCGCCACTGCACAGCCACATATGGCGCTCACCCCGCCCAATGATGCTGCCCTCTAGCCCTGACCTGTGAGGCACCCAGCATCCCGCCATGCAATTCCTCAGCGAACGGTCAATGACATCGTGGACATACGTAGGGACTCGTCGTCTCGCACGCCTGTCCCACTATCTCTAGCCTTCGGCCCTGGAGCTGCTCGCCGTCCCCGCTTGTTCATAGCAGCATGCCGCCTACGTAAGGGCTTCATCTTATAGTCGCGTGCTCTACACAGCAAGTTGAGATCTACATCGGCTTCTATACTGCGATCTGTGCATGCGAATGTGCGGCGCGACACCTACTGTGCTCTCATATTGTTGCGGCCTGCTAGACAATGCTATGTGTATTCTCAAAGCCATGCGCGTATCTTCATCACGCATCGCGACCGTTGGCGCCGATGTGGTTCGTAACGTAGTGATTTCGACGCAGCCTGATGTATACATGGGGATCTTTTGATCTGAAAGCTACGGTTCGGGGTACATGTTGTCGTCTAGCAGTACTAGGTTAAGGTAGATAATCTAGACTATCTGGACTCGTAAAGAGAAAGGTCTACACCCTCAAAGTAAAGATCTACACCCTTGAAGCAAAGGTCTGCACCCTTAAAGCAAAGGTCTGCACCCTTGAAGCAAAGGTATGCACCCTTAAAGCAAAGGTCTACACCCTTAAAGCAAAGGTCTACACCCTTGAAGCAAAGGTCTACACCCTCATAAGAAAAGGTCTGCACCCTTATGTAGTAAGTATAAACTTACTTACGAGACATTGAGGTCTTCCATACTGTGCTTGAGCTCTCCTTCATACTGGGCGAGCAACAGATGGGTCTCTCGGAAGAGCTGCTTCACAGTCTCGGATGTCTCCACATCCTCGGAAAACTCAAACGTGGAGAGGCTTCTGTGAGCCTCTGTGATATCCGGTATCTTGGATTTGATGCTGTCTTGAAGGTCCTTTTCCTCTTTGAGACGGGCCGCCTTGATGGCGATTTCACCCGTGATTATCTTGGAAACTCGCTCTTTCTCCAAGTTCATGTTATTCGAGTAGAACGTGTAACGGAAGCGAAAGCTGAGCGCGTCGGCCCAATGCTCGCGCTTGGCTTGGGCGGTAGAGGTAACGTTCACTGGACATCGTTAGCAACGTGAACGGGCGCAACGAAAACCAAACTTACGACCAGCGGGATGCCCGGCGACACCGAATCCAGAGTCCGTATATCCTAGGGATAGGCCATTGATAAGCATCTCTCCAAGTGCGGCCTCGTCTGCGTTAACCGCAAAGCTGACTGGGAAGCTATCCCATCGGTAAGGCATGACTAGGTAGATAGCCGTATTCTCGAGCAAGGGCATAATGAAGCTGGATTTCTCGGCCGATGCTCCGTGTTCGCGCAAACGATCCAAAACCCTGAGCGCGTAGCCGACATATGCTAGGGCCCGGGAGTCTCGATGGTCTAGGAATTCGCTAGGCACCGCCTTGATACGGTCTTTGACTATTTGGCAGAAATCCGCTAGGATACGACGGCGCGCATCAGATGGGTTGCGTGAAGAGGAGCACAGGAACTTGTGCTTGCCTGCTCGGATGTCAGAATCATCGGAGACGTTTCGCTTGGCATTGTCGATTCCCAATCCGACCTCAATGTCGCTAGGAGACTAGTCGCTATTGGTTAGCAAAGTGTGCTGCTACCTTGCACGGATGAGGTCTATAATACTTCTACCAGGTATACTTGGAGCGTCTGGATGATGGCCAGAAGCTCGGACATTGTCGGCGGTAGGCCAGTGATAGGTGAAACAAAGTATCGGACATAGTGGCCAGGCGCAACAATACTTGCGTTGTCCATCCAGGCTGTGGTGCTGATGTCCTATGGAAACGGTGAGCGTTATAATTGATAGACTTACAGTTAAACGTACGGAAGTTTCATGGCTTTCATCACTATGGCTTGAACTAGGTCGGTTGGAGCCGTATAGCTCGACTAGGTCTGCATCTCCTTGACGGTACTTCTTCGCTAGGTCACCATCTATGATACCTTGGAGAACACCATCTGGTAAAGAAGCTAGGATTGGCACGCAAGCACGTCGCCAGGTATCAGGACCATCGTTAGTCTTGGGATGTCTCCGCTTGAACTCGTAGTTGAAGACGGCATCGACTAGGGCAGTATAGCCATAGGAGACCAAGCCGGCGAACTGCGAAGGCGGTCCATGGAACGTAGCTTGGTTATTGGCTCGCCTTGATGCGATGCAGCCCGCGCTACGGAGGTCGTCAGCTTGGGTTTGAGGCTGGTCGTCGGATTCTTGGAAGGTGCCTTGGAGGTCAATGTTGCTGTGCTCGGAAGAGGTGCTTGAGCGACTCCGCTTAGGAGCCGACTTGGTGAAGTCTGGGGCGGCAATGCGCTTGTTCATCGTGCATGCTGGTGAGTGTTACTAGGATGGTTTCCAGATCTGAGGTGATGCAGACGCGCTCAAGTGCATTGGGAAGGCACGCGTGGGTTGGCTCCTTCCCGATGCATGCCAGCTCTGCGACGTACCAACGCAAATTCTGCACCCTGCTACACAATTTCTTTTCCTTTCGCTGTCGCCTATATCACAATGGCATCCAAAAGACGCCTCTCTTCCGAGAAGTGCGCGATTTCTCGCGATGCACAAGAGACGGCGGGTGCGAAACTGCAGGACCTGCGAACGAGGATCCAAGAACGCGAGAAAGCTCATCTCATACGCGTCGCCGAGCATCTAAATACCACCAAATCCTATCCAGAGCGTCCTAGAGAGCAAGCTTCGAAAAATCGAGGTGGCGGGCCAACCAACATCTGGGGTTATGAAACTCCCGAGCCAGAACAACGCCCGTCCGAGCCAGAGTCGGATGTTCCCAAGAAGGCTTCACCGGAGTGTCCTAGTATCGCGATCCAGGAGGCACCTGTTGCTGTACCTAGCACACCCATCCAAGCAAATCTCGGAGACGCAACGCGTAAGCCTTCGCGAACGATCCTAGACTACTTCCGGCCCGTTTCGTTGAGGAATCCCAAGAAGTCGATCCGATATTTCTTCGCGCCATTTTCAGCGGTGGTTTGTAGAAGCGGTACCCCCGACGCCAGGTTGCTAACTTCTGGTAGCACAAGGAGAACTCAAGTCGTGCCGCCGAAGACGTTGATCAGTCTGACGATGACAGTATGGACTTTCAGCCTTTCACAGCTCCAGACTTGCCCGAGGATGAAAGTGAAGACTTTCGTGAAGCCGAAGGTGCAGACCTTGTTCACAATGGAAGTGCAGACTTCTCCGAAGCCGCCAAAGGTGCAGACCTTGTTCGAAATGAGAGTGCAGACTTTCTTGTTCGAAATGAAAGTGCAGACTTTCTCGAAGTTAAGGGTGCAGACCTTGTTCAAAATGGGAGTGCAGACTTCCCCGAAGCCGGGAGTGCAGACTTTCAAGACTTCTCAAGGACAGGAAGTGCAGACTTCCAGAGCATTGTACAGGGGTCGGACCAAGAAGACGACATGCTCTTCGAGTTGCCTGAGTTCCAAGAGTTGGCAAATATCGAGGGCTTCCCGATGAAGAACGCCGATGAGGTCGAGGGATCGCAAGCGGGTGGAGCCGAGGAGGATGAGGACGATTCCGAGAATGGTGACGCAGCGAGCGTGATCCAGGGTTTCCAAGCACCCCTACGCAATGTCGGGCCACCCACAAATCGAGGCAAGAAAGACCGCCGAGCATTTGAGTTGCCCATCCGCGTATGGATTCCTAGCAACGCCTCCCAAGGTGCCTGGAATCCAATCGACACGCTGAGCAACGCAATCCAAGCCAAGCTTCGAAAGAAGCTGAACGAGGTGCTGCGAACGAAGAAGTCTAAGCCCCTCTGGGCTCGCTGGACCGATCCTATCAACGCTCCTTCGCATTACAACCAATGTACTTGAGCTCTATGTGCGAAGCTACGCAGACTGACTGGTTGTAGGCATTGCCAATGGTCTCATCTTGAGGAAGGGTCGAAAGTACGCCGAGAACCACGAAGCATGCGCATGGTGTGTCAAGAAACACCTCCTTTGTGCGTTGTTACACGAAGCACCTATGGGGCAGAGCATCTTCGTGGGCATCCTTCCCCTAGAACGTGGTCTACGAGTTGGCCAAGAACCCCGGCAGATAAGCTACTGGATAGAGAGGGATGCTACATACGATGATAGCGAGGGATGAGACATAAGATGGCTAGCTCGGAGTGTTCCTAGACTGTCTTCTTGATCCTCCGATATATCTATTTAGACCCTACATCCTTGTTCTTCTCTGCTTTCCTACTGTCCATTCATACGCATACAGAGTATCATTATCCCACACGCGTTCTAACGAATCGTTACCGTTGACCTCGCGGTCGTGTGGATGGGCTGAGTAGCGGGGTGGTTTCGCGGGAGTAGGAACGGGCAGAGCGCGGGCAGGCGCACGAGAGCAGATACAACCCCAATTTTACTGCGCGATTGTAGCTATGTAGTCGAAGTACGCTTGGGTGCTCGGCGAAGTCAATGCGATGGATGTGCGGTGCTGAGCGTCGAGAATGGTGGGGGTGGTGGTGGTGATGGTGCGACGCTTGTCCGGAGAAGCGATCTCGGGAGGCGGAAAGCCGAGGTGTGGCCAGCGGCGACTTGGCTGCATACGTCCACCTCATACAAAGAAAGCTAAACAGGCAACTTGCCGTCTACTTTAATAAAAGGGCTAATTATCACAAAATGTAGATTTGTAGGGGGCAAGTGTTCAGCTTTTTCCATGCGTAAGGTGCGTCCGCTACAACATGATGACTTATAGAACTACTTAACTAACAAGCAAGTCTACACTCGCAAAGATTTAGAAGTCTACACTCCTAGATAGCAAGTCTGCACTCGCAAAGATTTAGAAGTCTGCACTTCTAGATAGCAAGTCTGCACTTGCAAATATTCAGCAGTCCTCTAGATAGGGAGGAGAACGAAGATGTCTCTAGAAGGTTTCACTTCCATCTATCTGGCCAGGAGTGAGGATTCCCTCTAGACCCTCGAGAAGATCGGGATCAGTGATCCCCTGATTGCTGCCAACGCCAATGACCTCAATCGCCGCGTCGACCTTGGCCGTCTTGACAATCTCGGCATGCAGGTCCTTGAGATCCTTGAGTTCCTTGGCATGCGCGTTCTTCATCGATTGGATCTCCGCATTTAACCTATCGACCTCGCCCTGCAGGTCTGGTTGACCAGCTCGATCGTTCTCGGGTGCGTCCGGAAGCTCTTCCTCGTGTCTAGGTTCCTTGCCGTGGGTGACATCGGGGAGGTGCCAGACCTCCTCGGGCTGCCAAGTTCCGTCCTCGCTCACGCACCCCCATCGCTTGAGGATTTCGAGCTCGTCTTGGGTTGGGCAGATTGGAATATCTGGGGGCGGAGGACCATTATAGGTCTTCTTCCACCACGCAGAGGCGGCGTAGATGAACCCGCAGCACTAGTATGATTAGTCAAAGGAGTTTTCAGTGCGGGACTGACATTACCCTGCCCACGTGCTTCCAGCTATTGCAGTGGCGGCACAGCCTCTCGCACGCCGTGTGACTCCTGGAGCGATGCTTGGTCCAAAGCTCACCACATCTAGGACATTTGGTGTGATGGGGGCGCACGCCGTAGGTCCCAGTACCACCTTGGACTACAATCGATCCCGCTAGAGGCCTGTAGCGTTTCGGCTCATATCGCAGAAGTTCGCGATGATTGGAAGAGGGCTTCGAGTTGCTAGGAGGTGGTCTAGGCGGAAGCGCACCCCGTTGCTCGAAGTGCTCGTAGCCACTAGGTATGCCTTGGCCATGGTTGCCAAAATCGGAATTCTGGCCAGAAGGGTGATCGTACATAGGAGGTACCTGATAGTCGTAGCCACTAGGATGACCGTAATTTTGAGGACGGTAACTAGGAGGGCCGTACTGGTGGTATGCGCCCGAGTTGCTAGGAGGTGGGCCATATCCTTGGTGATCCTGAGGCCATGGGACCTGATTACCGCCTACTAGCTGTTAGCTGACCCGCTTCTAGAACTTTGGGAATGTGTATACCCATCGGCCTGTTGAAATCGAAACTAGGTCTTGGAGTCGATCGCCCGGACTGGTTTGGGCGCTGGCCGTGAGGCCATGTGTAACCGTTCATCTTGGTGGAGGGTGCAGGTGGTGTGTATTGGTGGGTAGCAAGACTTTCGCGCGTGCAAAACTTTCAAATATCCCGACGTGGTTGCTGAGTCACGTGCGCACGCGCTTCAAGATCCCTGGATAGTACATTTCACCTTGCCTCTTTCGGTTGAACGTCACCGATGACCGTCGGCGTGATGTGGTGGTTAGTCTGGGAGTAAAACACGTTCGCGTCAGACGCGATGCGATGTCATGCGTCTTTGATACATGCAGTAAGCTTTGAAAGATTTGTAAGTAGAAGAACTTCGTATTCCGTAAAACTAGTGTACACGGAGATCATGACCGCAACGGAACGTAAATCAGAGTCTGCACTCTGCCGCAGCAAGGTAGCAAGTCTGCACTTGCGATGCTGGAGTCTTTATTTCATGGATTAAGGTCTTCACCTTATGAAACACACGTCTACACGTATGACCGCGAAGCATATCACGAGATGTAAAGTCTGCACTTTATCTAGGGTCTAGCCGCCTAGGTCGAAGTATGCGAGCTGCTCGTCTTGGCGCTTGAAAGTCTCCCTCAGGGTCTTCTGGGCAGCAACATAGCCGTTATTGCGCTCGATCAGCTCTTCGATTCTTGCGGTGGCAGCTGGAAGACGATCAGCGTCGGCCTTGTACTTGGCGGTACTGCGACGGGCTCGGATGGACTTCAGTTTCTCGGCGTAGTAGAGCTCCTCAAAGTTGCTCTCGGATTCTTGTTGTTGTGAAGTCAATTTCTCGGCGCTCTCTAGCTGCTGCTGAAGCTCCAGGATAGTGTTGGCTGCCGTCTTGGCCTCCTTGTGTGCTGTCTTTAGAGTGTCGTCACGCTTCTTGCACATGTTGGTAGCATCTTGGAGTCGTCTCTGGAGCTCGCGGATGTCATTGGAAGACTTCTCGGCTTTCTTGTTCGCGATGTCGATAGCCGTTTTGCGTTCCTTGGACATCTCTGCCGCCTTTCGAATGTGAGCGTTGAGACTTGCCTCGAGTTTTAGGATACGGTTGTCGCGCCTGCTGACGGTATTTTGAGCAATCTCGAGGTTCTTGGTCGCTTCCTTTTGGGCTCTCTCAGCCTCACGAAGCTTGTCTTGGAGACCTTGGACGCCATTTTGGACATCGCGGAGGCTGCTGCCTTTCTCGGTAGTCGTCATGATCGGGCGAGTGACGTCCTTCGAACGGTCTTGTGCTAGGATTATGCTCGCGTTCAGCTTCTCGGTGGTCTCGGATAGAGTGCCTATTATGTATCAGTACACGAACAATTGTTGAGAATGATCGACCCACTCTCGGTAGCGGCCTTCTCGTTCATGAGATCCTTCATGGCTGCCAGGAGCTCGATGTCACTATTGATCTGAGTGACTTCTTGGTTCATTTCGTGTCCGCGCCTGGCTTCGAGTTGGCGCTTGGGCATTGTGCTGCTCGTAGAATAGCTGCCCGGTGATGAGCGGATCAGATCTTTCCAAGGTTGCCAAGTCGACCCACGTGACAACGCGATAAGCCGCCCCACTTGCTCAGAGCGAAGCGCGTACAGGCGAACACTCGTCCTGTCTAACTTCACCACACATCCGCCAAGATGGACGACGACGTAGACTACTACGAGCCACTCTCCAAGGCCATGCAGACGAGCTTGAACCTATGTCTCGAGACTATCGTGGCTTCGCCAGCAGGGCAGGTCGCGCGAGCAGACGACCCCGAGCAACATGCACACGAGACGAGGATGCGAGACCTGCGTCGCCTAGACCGGCGTGTAGATGAGATGAACCAAGAGATCACCAAGATCAACGGAATCACCGAGCTCATGGCACCTATCAAAACACTGATCCAAGAAAAGGCCGCTCTCGCGGGTAAGTTGACAGGCATCAACATCTTGCTCGTGCTAACAAAGGACAGATACTTTATCCAAGACCAAGAGGGATCTTGAGGCTTCCAACAGTGTGTACCTCACTCTAAGGCTTCTTCATGTGCTAATAGAGAACAGGCTCCCACTCCAAGACCGATGAGGAGCTGAAGGCTACCGAGAGTGAGTATCCTATCTACGAGGCCCTTCCAGTGCTAAGACGTAGCAGGCAATCTTTCCAAGATCAACGAGAAGCTCAAGGCTGCCGAGGGTAGGTATCCTGTCTAATCTCTTCTTTCCCGTGCTTATAGATGACAGATACCATCTCCGAGGCTAGCGACAGCCTGACCGTAGCCCAAAACCTAGCAGAGACTCGTCTCAAGAACTTCAACCTCTTGTTCAGCACAAATACCAAGCAGTTTGAAGACCTTCGCGAGTGCCGGCAAAAGCTGAAAACGGAGATGGAGAGCGGCGAAGCTACCAAGGAAGAGCTGGAGAAGGCCCAGGGCGTGCAGACGCACCTTGATGGGCGGGTCTCGACGCTCGAGGGAGAACTCGAGACAACCAAGAACACGGCCCAGGGCGTGCAGACGACCCTTGATAAGGCTAACGGGCGTGCATCGACGCTTCAGAACCAGCTCGAGCTGTATAAGAAAGAGGCCCAGGACGTGCAGACGTCTCTTGAAAGGCGTGTCTCATCGCTCGAGGGAGATCTAGAGGAATCCAAGAACAGCGCCCAGGACGTGCAGACGCTCCTCAATAAGGCCAATGAGCGTGTATCGACGCTCAAGGAACAGCTTACGACATCCAAGAGCGAGACCCAGAGCGTGCAGACGTCTCTTGATGAGGTTAATGGGCGTGTATTGACGCTCGAAGAAGAGAAGAAGAAGGCCGAGGAAGCGACCCAGAGCGTGCAGACGTCTCTTGATGAGGTCAACAAGCGTGTATCAACGCTTGAAGAAGAGAAGAAGAAGGCCGAGGAAGCGACTCAGAGCGTGCAGACGTCTCTTGATGAGGTCAACAAGCGTGTATTCACGCTCGGGGAGGAGAGGAAGAAGGCCGAGGAACGCTCCCAAGATCTCGACCTGCAACTCAAGAATGCGCAGGACTCTGCGTCTAGTCTCCAAGAAAAGGCCAACAAGTCCACGCTACACACCAATGGCATTGAGGGACAGCTCAGCATTGCAGAACAGCGCATCCGAGGACTCGAGGACGAGGGCGAAGAAACCAAGAAGCGCACCTCAGAGCTTGAGGCAAAACTCCGAGCTGCTACTGAAGGTCTCGATGCGGCGAAAGGGCAGGCCGAGAAAGACAAGCTGGCACTCGAAGCGCTAGACAAGAACCTCCAAGACGAGAAGCGCATCTCCAAGGACACCTCAGATGAGCTCGGGACCTCCAAGCAGTCAGCCCTAGACTTCGAGCGTCGCGCCCAAGATCTCACTACAAAGGTCCAAGAACGAGAGACTTCTCTCGGTGAGCTACAAAGGCAGGTTCAAGAGCTCCAAAAGGAAAAGGAAGATGCCTCCAAGAAAAGCGACTCTCAGAAGCGCGACCAAGAAGCGCTCGAGAACGATATCCGAGTACTCAAGCAAGACCTCGAGGAGCAAAAGCAGAAGTTCGACAAGGAGATGCAAGAGAAGATCTCAGAAGTTGAAACGTCCGAGGAGACCATCGCGGACCTAGAGGATCGACTTGACATTGCTGAAGATAAAGACAAAACCATCACGAATTTGAAAGGAACGGCCGAGTTCTCCGAGTGGCGCATCCGAAAGCTTGACGAGCAGGTTTCCAAGAAGAGCACACGCATCACAGAACTTGAAGCCGAGGTCAAGAAATCGAAGGCCGAGGATACGAAATCCAAGGCCTGCATCCTCAATCTCCAGCGGGACAGTAATACCTCCGCGCAGATGGCTGAGATGGATGCCCAGAACCTCCAAACCCAAGTCAATGATCTCCTAGCAGCCAATGAGCGTCTTTGCACCGAGCAGGATGCTCTAAAAACCAAGCTTCAGGACTCCAAGATGCTTGCGCAATCTCGCCTCGAAGGCAACACCTTTCTTCAAGGGTCAGTGTCACGCCATGCGCAGCAAGTCCAAGATCTGGAGGAAGAGGTCACGGATCTCAAAGGAGTCATCGGTACTGCCAATAACCTATTGGATGAACGCGCTATCGAGATCCAAGAACTTCAAGGCTCGGCTGCTCATGAGTCCGAGAACATGACGGAGGTTCTTCAAGGTCACCTAGACGAACTCAAAAGGTGTCGCGATGATCACTCAGACGAACTCAAAAGGTGTCGCGATGATCACCTAGAAGAACTCCAACAGTGTCGCGATGGCCACCTAGAAGAACTCCAACACTGTCGCGATGATCACCTAGAAGAACTCGAGGACACGGTTGCGGATGCCGCGACTCAAGAATACGTCGCCAAAACCGAGCATAGGGCACAGATCAACACCGTGGCCGGTGAATACGAAGCCAGTTTGGACGAGCAAGATATGCTCTTCTCTGGTGAGCGCAACCGCCTAGCCGCCGAGTTTTCCACCGAGTTATCACGGCAGCTCACCAAGCAACACCTAGAGCTCGGGGACAAGTCTGAGGATCTCCTCTATGCCGAGCAACTTCAAACTTCTCAAGCTCGGTCGGATGCGGCCGTCTTCAAGAGGGAAGCTGAAGCGGCCAAGACCGAGATCCAAGAGCTCATCAACTGCAACAACGAGCATGTTGATGCGCGGATGAGCCTCACGAAGACGGTCATTGAGCAAAACGAGATGCTCGAGTACTTCCAGAAGAATGGCTGGTGAACACTAGTGTCAAGCAACGTGTGGTTTACAAGGTTTAGATCTTGATTTGGGAGGTAGAGACCTCCCCGCGGAAGTGCAGACTTCTCTTACTCTGGAAGTGCAGACTTCTTTTACTCTGGAAGTGCAGACTTCTTTTACTTTGGAAGTGCAGACTTCTTTCACTCTGGAAGTGCAGACTTCTTTTACTCTGGAAGTGCAGACTTCTTACTCTGGAAGTGCAGACTTCTATTAGATTACATTACGTAGCTGCTTTGCAAAGCTGTTGTCTTCTTCTACGCTGTAGCGACTAATGCTGCAATATGTGTAGAGAAGTACTGCGTAGGAAGAGAGTCTTGAATTGCTTTGTCGATGTATCCCCGTTGACTCTCTATCTACTACCACTACGATAACGTAGACTACTCGCGATACCTCTATCCCTAGATAAGCGACATCGCAAAACTTTCAGGCTTACCGGATTAGAAGCCATTCGATCGCTGCACGATCTACGGCAAAATTGTGTGCCTGAACATTAACGATCTCTGATTCTGATTAAGGCTCGAGACTTGGTTCGTTATGCTGATCTCGAAATGTTGTCCTGTCCTCTCTTCTATAGTACTACGATAACATATTAACGCCTTGCTTGTAAAGACTGTTAGCATCACCGATGCAAACGTGCGAGATCGAATGTAATGCTGTTCCTGCTACTTATCAAAGGTGCGAGTCTACACTCGCGAAAGGTATAATCTACACTATACGAAGTATGATAAGTCTGCACTCATCGACGATGCGAGTCTACACTCGCGAAAGGTATGATAAGTCTGCACTTATCGAAGATGCGAGTCTACACTCGCTAAAGAAATAGTCTACACCATACGAAGTATGATGAGTCTGCACTCATCGAAGATACAAGTCTACACTTGTAAAGAGACTCTCTAGGAATCGCGAGCAAGTCTTCACTTCCTAGGACAAGTCTACACTTGGATGATGAGAAAGTATTCACTTTCTAGATGCCATCAAAATCACCACCGAAGGCGCGCTTCTTGGGCTCGACGGGAGCCGCAGGTGCAGACACAGAAGCTTTGGGGGGTCTAGGGAACCCAGGCAGGTTTCGGATAGCGGTCTCCTGATCTATGCGGAGTTAGTGATTTCAAGATATATGAGGGCTGATATACATACTGGGAAAGAGCCTGGTCGCCGTGCAGGTATCCTCGGAACGCCGCCTTCGATTGACCGTCTCGACGGTGCGCCAGAGAGCAGGGTTGAACCAGCGTAGACTAGGAAGCTCGTCACCCTGCGGCATCACATGGCGCAGGAAGCAGTCCTGCATCATGGCGCAACGACCGTGCAATAGGTAGTCGAAGCAGAATAGGGGATCTAGGCACCCAGACTGAAACCACTGGGCTTCGCACAGGTTGGAAAGCATCTTGATGTTGATCTTTCCGTGCGAGGGTTCCCCCTGCGCAGTCTTGTATGTACCATAAGAGTATCTAGGTGCCCGTTCCGAATAGGCGTATCTAGGATGCGGTGCACTAGGTCCCGCAGAGCGCGTGGTCATGTCCACGGTGTAGTGGCTCGGGTTGCGGCTCTGGAACATAGGGTCCTTGGGCGCGGATTTCTCGGGGGCGAAGTTCTTCTTGGGTGCGCTGTACAAGGGTTGGCCTTGTCGTCTAGGAGGACGGTTATCGGTGACCTTGAGGTTACCGAAGGAGTCGGTGAGGGCACCCGCGCCCGCCACGGTGTTGAAAGCCCACTTGGACTCGTCGGTACGCTTGGTCGCTGGTCCTTGGGTCTTCTTTTCTAGGGGCTTGGGTAAAGGCGACTTCGCCTTCTCTTGGGCGGGGTTGCTCGGTGTCCTTGGTTTAGCCTCGGTGGCTTCTTCCTCGGTGGCGTCTTCCTCGATTTCATCGCACAAGATGAGGCCTTCGTCGACTAGGCGTTTCGCTAGGGCTGAGCCAAAGGCTGACCTCAGCGTCTCTCCGTGGAGGAAATACCAATTCTCGTACTGAGACTGTTAGGTCGTTGCGAAAAGACAATGATTCGAACAGGCTTACTTTGTAGTCCTTGGGGTTCTTGCTCACGAAGAAGAGCGTGTTCTTGGGAACCGGCTTGACCACGTCGCCCTGGTTCTGGGCCAGCGTAGCATCGGAGCCGCGGCTGTCTAGGGTGAGCTGGTGAACAGCTTGGGCTTTTTGCGCTGCCGCCGCTTGAGCTTCGGCGACAGTCATCACTAGGAACTGGCGATTGTTGATATATAGGGAAAAAAGGGAATGGTATGGGGTGTTGCAAGGCGAGGTGTTAGATTGTAAAACCGAGAGCAAATTTGAAAACACAACCAAACGCGCTAGTCCGAAGCTCTCCTCCGACGCTCTACTCTCCTTCACCTCTGATGGTCCAAGCTCTCGGAGACCGCGCCATAAACTTTAGGCAGAGCTCGTCGAACAATACTTGCAGGTCATCCTTCGTGCCGTTCGCTTCATCGCTCGCAAAGCCCTACCGCAAGTCTCAGATAGCACAATCCTTGTTGGCCTATTCAGGAAGTTGATCCAGGTGCGGTTGGAGAAGCTCACCACTGAGCTCCCCGAGAAAGTGGGAGAACTTCTCAAGCCCGTCACCCCATCACGTACAACCATTATCTCACGGACAACGTTCAGAAAGCGCAGAGCCGACGACGTGTGCACGAGATGCAGAAGTCACTAGAGGGCGTGCTCGGAGGTGACTACAACAATGGCGAGACTCACAGATTGAGCATCAACGTGGATAAGCGGACAACTATGCGAGTTCCACGGCCTCATAACAGATAGGTACGAGTTGCGCATGCTTCTGGATGGGCTCTAATATTGGCGGGTTGCACTTCAGAAGATCATCGACGACTTCACTGTACTCGCCATCGAAGCGCGCTGCATGCAAGCCCTTCCCGACTTATTCTCGCCAGCCGACCTTATCGACATTGACGATGCGACTGTGACTGCTCTGGCATCCGAGAGCGAGGAGTATTCGAAAGAGCGAGCGCGTTGCAGCGAAAAGCTCAAGGTTTTCGAAGAAGGGTTGCGAGCTCTACAAGACGTTCGTAACATCTCGCCGCTGCCACAGAATGAAGATATGATCTATGACTGGATCGGCCTTGATGGAAGAACGACATGCTAACATGCTCAAGATGACGGCACGTACTCGGAACAAATCCTGCCGAGCCCAGAACCAACAGAAGTGTCTGCTCACGACAGTGCTGACGAAGCTTCGGCGGGGGGCGAATCGGAAGATGAGAAGTCTTTATCGTCTGATCAGCATGCTGTCCTGTGTTCAGAAAGGGCAATCTTCTCATGCGAAACGAGCGCGTTCGACTTCGCAGCGGCGGGAAAGGCTATTAGGAAAGTAGAGACAGGGAACGAGGCCCGCCGTCTTTGATTGTGCTGATGTGGCTCTGTGTAGCTACTGATACCCCTCAGTCTTTGCAGCATGACTAGGCTTCGTTCCCAACCGCATAACCGGGCTATTGATAAAGTTATCTAACCCATCATGCGTGAAGAAGGTCTGCGCCTTTGAAATCTGAACCTCATTCGCGCCTCTCTTCCAAATACTCTCATCATAACTTGTGACCGCATCTTTCAAACTCGCGCTCCCACTTTGCACGCTCTTCAACGCTTCAACAAGGCAATGCGCAGAATAAAAAGCATTGTTGGCGCCCTGCCCGCGGTGAAACGTCATGGCGTGCGCCGCATCGCCGCACAGCGTAACCCTCCCGTTGTGATTATCCCACGGCACCGTCTTCCATATCTTGAGCTGATCGCGCAGCACGGGTGTGTCTTCTGGTATCCACTCAATAGCGCTCTTGTATGGCTCAGCCCACCCATCCCGCTTCACATGCGCTTTAAGCCTTTCCAACCGCCCGTGTTCGTTATCATGGTCTTCAACATATTTCAGCGGCCAGGTGGACAGGATCTGAAACGTCCAGGTACTCGCGTCTTTCTTATCGGGCATGTCGAGCACGTTTGCGCGGATGTAGTGGCCTGCGGGGTGGATCGCGATGTCGACGAGTGGGTGTAGACGCTCTTTGATGAAAAGCGCTTGGGAGGCGGTGTAGGACGCGTTGAAGTTCATTAGGGCGAAGGGAAGCGTGTCCATGGTGCCGGAGTGGGGGAGGAGGCAGCGGCGGACTTTTGACATGGCGCCGTCGAGGCCGATGAGGATGGTGCCGGTGTCGGTTGTGCCGTCTTCGAAGTGGACTTTCACTCCGCCGTTCTCCATGGTCTCATAGTGCGAGAAGCTCTTGCTGTATTGCACATCCAATTGCTCAGCTAACAGCATGCGCAGTCTTCTAATATTAATCTCGCGCGCCTTTGGTATCGGGAACGCAAACGCCTCCTCCCGTGTCTGGCCGTTGTAAATCACGATTCGGTCTTCGCCGAACGCTGCGCAGTCGACGTAGGGGTCGACTTGACATGAGTTGATCTGCGCGCTGAGCTCTTCTGGGATGAGGTCGAAGAGGTATGGTCGTGCCCAACCTAATGTGAAGGCCCAGTGACGGTGGCGGTAGACGTCGGCGCCTTTGTCGTAGATGGCGAAGGAGATGCCTGCTTTTTTGAGGCCGTGAGCGAGCGCGCAGCCGGCGGGGCCTTGGTGTGTTAGTGGGGGTTTGTTGTGCTGAAGGTTTGGTTACACACCGGCGCCGATGACGATGACTTTCAGGCTGGTGTCGATGCTACCCATGTTGGATGGATGCGGTGTTGGGTTGGAGAAGTGTGAGGTTGCGACGGTGGAGGCAGGACACGATGTCAGTTTCGAGAGACGCTGGGTCGCGGCATCAGCGGTCTTAACATTGCATGTCGGATCATAGTCATGCTGCAGGGTCGTTCAAGCCGGGCGACATGTGTAAGCTAACGCAAGAGAGTGGGGGATGCGATGCAGATGCGGCGGATGCGGCGGGCGCCGTTGTTACTAGCGTCCGGCGTCGGTTCTCCTCTTCAGTGCCGTGCCCAGACATCGAACGCAACACAGTCTACGCATGGGTCTTGGACGTCTCCGAGAAGTATAGTCATGAAATGGGTTGGACAATTGCGCTCGACTATACTGACCATGTGTAGCACCTCTGGGTATCGCGCCCCCGCTCGGTCAAACTCCAGCATCGACATTCATCCCGACAGCATGGCAAACTGCAGCCCTGACGATCTCCCTCACAGTCTCCACTTCCTCTTCGTTCCTCGGCGCATACACCATGATCCAGCTTGGCGGTGCCAGCCAAGTCACTGGAAAGCGCTGTCCCCAGCCCCTCTTCATCACCAGTCTCGCGTCTTGCGGGCTCACGTATACATGGAGTGAGTTCTCTGCCGGATGCACATGCGCGACCTCGTAGAAGATTTTGTGCGCGACGGGGTTGATGGTCTTGACATCTGGCTTCACGTAGATGGCAGGTCCAGTTCCGCCTTCGGTCTTGCTCGGTCGCGTCTCAATGTGCTCCGAGTACGCCTTTGTATCCGCAAACTCGCGCATGAGATCGTGAAGGACCGTGGAAGCGCCGGGTGTGATCTTCTCTGGGAACTGGCGTTGTGGTAGTGTCCACCTTGTAAGCCCTGGTCTACTGCCAACGCGGTCCGGCACCTTCTGAGGATTGATATAAGACGCGCCCGTATCGGGAATTGGAGATGCATCGAGCAGGTTCTGGCGCGTATAGAGCAAGTAGAGCCCCCATCGACGGATCTTGATGTAGCCTTGTAATGTTGGAGGCGTGCCACCAGTTCCTGCGGCGACTCAGCAATCGCATTCACACAGGCTGAGAGGATCGCGAACCAAAGCTTTGCCAGCTCTTGAAGTCATACCAGAAGGCCAGTCCCGCGGCTGCTAGGCCGGCCAGCACGTATTGGGCGGCCATCTTTAACGAGGCTACGTGGCGGTCAAGACGAGGCTCCGAACAGAAGGTTTAATAAAACAGAGTCGACGTCGCGAAGTCTGAGAGTTTGCGGTGTTCCGTTTCAAGACGCGGACTTGAAGGTTAATGGGGGCCGCGCGATGTGGGGCGAGTGAGGGACAGGGCTGTCGCGGGCGGGAAGGCTAATGGCGCTAGAAGATCGGATCCCCTCACGCGCGCCCAATGACCCGGCTGCATCCCCGCAACACCTCCGCAACCCATCCACCACCATGTCACGATGCACCAGCGATATCGCGCACGACAGGCGCAAAGCGTCACTCGCCTTTCGCATCGTCTCACATCGCACCCAGGCGACACCACCAAATTCGCGACGCAGGTGAAGATCTAAGAAGAGTGCTAGCGACTCCAAGGCATCCGCGGTTTCAAACGCTACTATTTCCATCGCCACCTTGAAACATCGCTCGCGAACTCCATAAGACGAGGCAAGCGGCCTCTATACCCAGCAGAATGCACACCTCCAAGTGCTGAACAGCCAAATGGTACTCTGCAACTACTGCGCCGCTCAACAGACCCAAAGGGACGCCGCCGAAGCAACGCATCCACGCGCCTTAGCATCGCATCCCCTCCACGCAGCCCAACCCGAAGAATACCTCCGACCCTCCAAACAACGCGAACTATCCATCATCGAAGAAGCGCGCACCGAATCGCTAAAAGCCGAGTCCCTCAACGCAGAGTCGCTCAAAACAGGCCCGCCAACACCAACCCAGCCGCAGCCCAAAGAGCGCAAGTCGCGAGCACACAAGATGTCCATACCACCCCAGCTCCAGCAGCAACTGCGCTTGCTCATCCGCGCAAACCACATCCTACACCACCACGGCCTCGTCGACGCATTCGGCCATATCTCCGTAAGACACCCGCTCAACAAGGAGCAATACATCATCGCTGGCTACGACCCCGGCGCCCCGGCGCTTGTCAAAAACATGAGCGACTTTATATCGTACTGGGTCAAGGACTCCACGCCCGTCGACGCCGACGCGCCGCAGGGATACAGCGAGCGGTATATTCACGGGGAGATACTGCGGAAGTTTCCCAAGGTGAATTGCGTTGTGCATTCGCATTCCGAGGATGTCATACCCTTCACTGTAGGACACGGCACGATGGAACCGCATCCTGTTCGACCCGTGTTCCACATGGCGGGCTTCATGGGCCTGGGCGGCGCCAAGGTATTCACAATGGACAGTCTCCGTGGAACGTCAGCGCCCTCCGAACACGACCTCCTCATCAAAAACGCATCCCTCGGCGCCGCTCTCGCCGCACGCTTCTCCCCCGAAAATCCCGTTGTACTACAGCACAAGCACGGTTTCACAACCTTCGGTGCTAGCATCGAAGAAGCGGTGTACCGGGCGATATATACGCAGAAGAATTGTATATTGCTACAAAGGGCGATTGCGATTGCGGGGGGCGATGCAGAGGGTGTATCGTATTTGAGTGCGCAGGAGGTCAAGGATTGCGCGGTTATGAATGCGAAGACGTTGGATAAGTCGTTTAGGCTGTGGTTGAGGGAGGTGCAGGTTAATCCGCTTTATGAGAATGAGGAGGGGGAGCCGGAGAAGGGGAGGGTTGGGGGGATGAAGATGTGAGGAGGGGTCAGGCGCTGTAGTTTAGCTATAAGAAGCGCTGAGCGCGTGAATATTACGATAGGAATCAGATAACCCAGAAGTCTACATCGCTCACCCACATTGCGGTCTTGACGTATCACGCTATAGTAAACTTTGAAGTTCATTTTGGGAACCAGACGATCTCGAAATTTTGAACCGGGACTTCGAAAGCTTCATACGTGACGGGTCGGAGAAGTCCCATACCGAAGCGCCTATACTCGCTGTCGCTGGCCTGTTCAAGACGAAACCTCCAGTGTACCAAATCCTGATGTCGCTCCGTATGGCAGATCATGTCTGGCCGACAAGTGTTCGTCTTAGTGCGCGACGATAACACATTTGCTTCTTGTCATGGTATCTTCTTTCAAGCACGGTTCCGGGCGATGCTCATCCGTTCTTCGTTGTCGCATTGAATCGAGTCGTACAATCACATGCGTATTGAACCGCGCTCCATTGCCTCCCGGTAAAACCCATTAGAGCTGTCGTGTGTGTCTTTTTTTGAGGACGGGAGAAGCCTGGTCTCTTCCTCCTCGAATAGTGGTAAAGCCTGTGGATCTCACAAAGTATGAGCCCATGTGTATTGAATTAATTGTGCACGGAGCTCGGTGCCGGATGGGTACTACTCAGGTGTCCAAATACCTGAATGGACTATCATCATTCGACGAGACACTTTCTCTGCGGGCGCAATGTCTTGATACGATGCATCGTTATTGTCATTCAGCCATTTCCTAGGACTGTTAATAGCGGTACAACTCCCTGAATGCACATCAACCATCTATAGTGATTGAAGCACATGCTCATTGCAAACCACGGCAGCTACATCGTCTGCACATGTCCCTACACAGCGTACTCTAATTTGTAGCGACTTTTGCATAAACCTTGAACCTCTTCCGCTATCTCTTTGAGAGCATTAGCACGGTATTATGGAACTATTACAGGTCTTCATAAGCGTTCGTGCACAAGCAGGAGTTATATTCGGTGGCTAGGAAAATTATCTAGGAACCACCCTTCACCATCTCATGGTGATGTCTTGGAAAGCAACGCTACGCCCCACAGCATCAATGCGCTCAATCGTCGCGCAACATAACGCTCTTCGAGTGTCCTAGCCGTCCTGAGGTAGCAAAGGTCTTCACCTTCGAACGTGGAAGTCTGCACTTCCAAACATAAAAGTCTGCACTCTTAGTGACAAAGGTCTTCACCCTCGAACGTAGGAGTCTGCACTCCTAGATATAAAAGTCTGCACTTTTAGTAACAAAAGTCTTCACTCTTGGATATCACTCCTCCTGGACATTATTAGCATGGTTTCGAGAAGATAATATGTATAGAAACGTACAATCATCTTCCAAAAATGGTTGAAATAGTCGTGCGCAATGTGATTGGGCACCATTTCGGAAGGTTTTACTAGGCAGTAGTCATGCGTCCTCGAATTGCAATTCGTGAAGGGCTCGGGCATCTCGGAGGCTCCCTTGTAGCCCTTCAGCAACTTGCTGAGGCCTTCCGCTCGTTCCTTGAGTTCTTGGGTCACCTTGGAACGCTCCTTGGAACTCTTGGTGGTTAAGACCATAGCTCGGTGGAAGCCAGCTGCGAAGGCTAGGTCCCAAGTTTCTGCCTCGCCTTGCTCCCAACCCTCGTACCAGGCGTCATCGCTTGGATCTTGAAGGTCTTGGACCGCATGGCGTAGCTTGGAGTACAGCTGGATGGCACCTGCTCGGCTGAACGAGGTGACGTTGCTCGGGAGCTTCTCTAGGAACTCGGAGTTGTTCATCTCTAGGAGGTAGTTGACTTGGTCCCGCTCCTCATCGAGCGTTGCCTTCATGGTGTTAGTTGAGCGATGAGTACACCATTTTGCAAGCGTACCTGGTCGAAATCGGGCGAGGCTTCTCGGGAAGAGTCGGTATGCTCGGAGGAGTCTTGGTGTTGTTGTTCTTGTTCTAGGAGGTGTTGTTCTCGGAGGTGTTGTTCTCGGAGTTCTTGTTCTTGGGCGTGAAGCTGTTCGTGGGCTTCGCGGGCTTGCCGTTCTTGGGTTTGCTGCTCTTGGATCTCTCGTTGCGCGGCTTCTTCTTGCGCTTTCTTGGCCGCCCTCTCGGCCGCCTTCTCGGCTTTGGTTTTGCGCGCCATTTTCGATAGTTTTATCGTGAGTAGTGCGGGTGTTTGTTGTTGTGGTTTAGCAAAGAATCTTCGACGGTGAGTACAAGCTCCATGGGCTAAGCCAAGTACCGCTTAGCGTAGTTATTTCAGCCAGACATCACCGCTCACTTTTCACCTGTTTGACATCGGCAGTGGAATTTATCTTGATACTTGGTATTATGGGCGAAAGACTCCAACGAAAGTCTCTTTATTATTAGTCCTCCGTAAGCAACCTCTGTTCGAACCAGTCAATCGCTCGTCAAAAACAGAGTCATCAATCGAAGCGTCGAAGAAGAGCCAAGCACTTGAAACATATGCCTTGTGCGAGTGCGCGTAACAGCTGTTCGTTGCATAGCTTTGCTGGGATGATAGCCTAGGTACCACGTCGCGCTTCTTCGACGCATCTGGCTGTCTTGAACTCGAGATGCCGCGCGGGAGACTACAAGCAAGCATACCGCAGGTGATGAAGCTTTTCAAGAGGCCGGGCCGCTGGATGTCGCGAAACCATCAGCGATGCGAGGGCCGTGAGGCGGTGAAGAAGGCGACGGTTGGTGACGCGGCGGCCCAGCGCTGTTACTGTAGCCTGCCCGGGAACCCGAAGTCATGGGCGGATGCAAATATGCATACTGCGATATCTTTGATGGCGGACAATGCAACGCAGCCTACTGCCTCCAGCAGTCCATAGGCTACATGTCACATCGGGCGCGCGCTCTTTCCTGCAGCCGGCCAAGGCCGCCCACAAACCTAACGATGACCTAATACATGCGACATTCTGCAGTATCCGGACGCCGCTGCCTACGTCGGCAAATAAGTCAGATTGCGTTGCCACACTGTGTGGGATCGCTGCAGCCTGGCACTGCTAGCATGCACTGCCGCGTCCCGGTCCTGTCAGAGTGACTAGCAACTGCTGCATCGACGGCGAATGGCTGAAACCTGGCTAACAGGTCGGTCGTTGGAGTTCTTTTGGACCCCGCGGAATGATCCCCTGCCAGTCGCGTCTCTCAGTTCTTAAGCCTCTTCCACTTGTCGTATTACTGATCCTCGCTGATCCAGGCGCGCTGCATGTTGATAGCAATCGACAGGCGCTCAAACGCGACGTTTCATGCCGCGATCTGGGGTGAAACGCGGACAGGTGGATTCCAAAGCCAGACGCAGTAGGCTGTCCTTCGAGCAGTGCTGCGCCACCGGCGGTAGCTATGCGCACTCTTTTTCGGGCATAAGCCTGACACACTGTAAGATCTAGGCAGTCTTTACTCAGACAAGCCGTGGAAACTTCGCCTGATGCAGACGTTCATTTGCAATCCATCAACGCATTTTTTGCATTACCCAAATTTACAACAACCGTAGGCTTACTGTGTGTGTTCTGCGCCTGTACAGATGAAACACCAAACAGGCGTGCCGCCTACGTTGCTCGGGAAGCTCAGCTTCACAAGATACTAAGGCAACGTAGCCTGCTGCGTTGCCTTACATTCAACTCAGAACAAACAAAACTACTCGCTGTCGTTCCCGCGAAGAACGACTTCAATCTTCAATCGATCACCAAGGATACACGTGACATTGATCCTCGGGGGGGAACCGAGGGGTGGCTGCGCACGCAACGCGAGACGCCGTAAGCCTACCAATGAAGCCATGTCGCAGGTGCGGTTTCGCGTGATGGGCCAAAAGACACGTCGGAAGAGAAGATCAACATCACGGAGAGCAATCAGACTGATGTCGTTGACCGAAAGGATGCACGCCGTGTTCGCGGCCCCGAGGCACCGGATCACCGAGTGCTAACACTGTTCGGGTAAAGCTGCCGCCACTAGCGGCCTTGCGACAGCCCGAGGCGCCATCCCGCGCACACGCTCCTGGTGAGTGACAACGACATTAAGGCCCATCAGCATCGTGACGACGCTAGCTCCTACATCCGACGTCTCTCTTCTTCCTATCTGCATTGTTAAACTGCTTGCGTAAATCTTATTCGCTCTTCGTGCGCGATTAGTTCTATAGTTTAGCCTGTGTTGCAATTGCGCAACTAAAATGTAAGTAGCAAGAGATAGAGAAGTTCTTGCTATTCTTAAATGTATCTACTACAATCTAATAGTAGAAATGCCTAGTAAGTTTCGTGCTAAGGTATATCTATGTAGAGTAGAATCTCTATATAGAGAGTAAACAAAGTAATACTACAACATTCTTGCTACTAATACGTTGTATTAGACTCTTCTATCTCTACAAATTAGACTTAATTAATTTCTTTACCTATAGAATCTAGCGCTATAAGTTTAAACTACTATATCTACTATATAAGTATAAATAACCTTCTATAAATACTAAGATACCTATTATTTAGTATAGTAATAAGAGATATTAATATACTACGTATATATTATAATATAGACCTCTTGTACGTAGACTTAGGTACTACTAGATAGCTATAGACTTGCCTAGGTATAATAGATATTTAGAGTCTAGTATAACCTTAAGTAGCGCTAACGCAACTATAAATACTATCTAGGTATCTATTCTACTATAGTATATATAACAAAGTAGAATAATCTATTAAGAGCTACTATCTCTTATAATAGTAAGTTAGAAATTATATTATTAGATTTAGAAGTGTATAATATAATATTATAGTATTCTACTAGTCTAGTAATTTATACATAACTTAAATATAGATGTAAAAGCTTACTAGGCTTAAATAAGAACTATAAGTAAATATAGTACTTATAGAGCCTACGCTAAAGTACTCTTAGTTAAATCTTATATTACTAAATTCTATAAGGTTTAGACACTTTAGCAGTATAGTAATAATAATATAGTTATAATAATAGTATAGTATAAACTAGTAATTTACTATAGAGTTATAATTATTTCTTATAATACTTAATACTAGCTTTAAGAAAACGTCTCTTACGTATAAGGTAGTAAAGTTAAGGTTATATCTATAGTATAGAGGTTTCTATTAAACGCGTTAAAGTAGCTACTAGCTAGATCTAGCCTTATCTAAATAGGCCTATCTAATCTAGTAAATATTATCTAGATTACGTAACTCTTATTTCTAATTAACTACTATTAGCCTACCTGCTATTACTCTGTAATATTAACTTTCTCTTCTATAACCTTCTACCTACTACGCAAATTAAAATTTGCGATATAGCTTTATTAATATACTTCTAGCGTCTTACGTTATATAGCTACCTATAGCTTATAACTATCTATTTTATAATTATAAAGTCTATAAATATAAATTTCTTATATACCTCTATTCTCTACTTTAAAGTCTAGCGTTAGATATTAATTTCTAAGAATTAATTACTAGAGATATATAATATACTTAGATTAATAGTAGTAGTATTAAAGCAGCGTATATTATAGATAGCAGACTTTAGAAATAAGCTATAAGTATTATTAAGAGTACTATTCTTATTTATACATATTTATAATATTTTCTAATATTAGAAAGTTATATTATATACTTACAAGTATATTAAAGTATTAATAAGATGTTATAATATATTTAAAATGCGCGATATTAGAGTTCTTAATAGATATAGCTTAAGTAGTAGTTTCTAGTAAGACTACGTAGATCTAGATTAGCTATATAGAACTAACTAAGAATACTTAGAACCTAGAACTACTCTCTTAGAAATTAGCCTAGTTTCTAGCCTTCTATAGGTTTTTACTAAGCTTCGCGATTACTAAGTAATTAAGTAGTATTATGTTAAATCTACATTATTTAAGTTAGAGTCTAGCTACTATAGAGATAGATTATAGATTATCTATAGATTTCTTATATATTACCTACTTTAAGAAAAATTCTTTACTAATATAAGCTATTCTTCTATCTCTATATATATAGCGCTTATATTAAAGTCTTATTCTAAGTTTTATTAACCTTTATAGAAAAGAACGCGCTAAAGATTAGACTAAATAATAGCTATATCTTTATATAGTAGATTTAGAGTTAGTCTAATTTCTAAACTATATTTCTACTAACAACTATACTGCGAGAGAATTAATCTAGAGAGTTTACTAGTGTTCTAGGCTTCTTTATCTATATTTATACTCTACTAGTACTTTAATACTACTATAAGCTAGTTCTTATAAAGAACTTTGCGGCTAATAACTACTTCTCTATTCTTACTCTAGTAGCCTTCTTAGTCTATTATAGCTCTGCGCTACTAGATATCTAAAATAGAACTAGAAAGTAATAATATCTTATTTTAGATAAAAAGTATTCTATTAGTATAAAGATATAATACTACGTCTATAGTATATTCTATAAGGCTAATAACCTAAACTAGTAGTAGTAGACTTATAAGTCTATATACGTTGTTATAAATATCTTTCTTAAGATAAGTATTAGTATCTTTCTTCTACACATTGCCTAGAATAGAACCTATTACCTAATTCTTTAGACTACTCTTATTACTATCTAAGTATATAGCGTATACTTCTTCTTTATCTTTACCTTCTAATACTAGCCTATCTTATTCTTCTAGAAATAGTTCTATAGTAGTAAAGAATATTATATTCTCTCTAGGTTTGTTATAAACTTATTCTATAGCTACTTTATACTATTCTATATTATAAACTAGATATTTAGTATTATTCTAATCTTTATTATATATAACTTATAGATAGACAAGAGAAAGAAGATAATAGTAGTTATTATACTTACCTACTACGCTATATAAGCTTATTCTACCTCTAGAGTTTTTCTTACCTTATATACTAACTTAACACTAGTAGCTCTACTATAATAGTTATCTATAACCTATTTATAAACAGCCTAACTTTATTAGATTTATAACTTTTACTATTAAATTCTATAAAATTTAGTCTATATACCTCTATATTCTAGCACTAGCCTTATAGCTTAAGCTAACTCTAAAAGCTTATTTAACACTATAAGCTAACTCTAGAAGCTTATTTAATACTATAAGCTAACTCTAGAAGCGCGTTCTCTACTATAATTATACTTAGAAAGTGCGCTCTATAGCGTAAGC